GCGGATTCTTTGTATCTTATCAAAAATATCTAAATACATAGCAGAAGCACCAGCGTATAAAGTATTCGTACATTATACGTATTATATTATTTATATATAATAATGATTATATACGTATAATTATAAGTAAATGATACTTGTACAAGGCCTGAGAGACACTTGAGGTTGAGCTTTACAGATTTAGAGGTATAATTTATGAAGATGTGTGGGGAAGATAACGATTGAGCCTAGATTTAAACAAGTTAAGATTGTAGTGATCGGCGAGTCGGTTCTATAAAATATCGGTTCCATTTCTTCGGTTTCTGTCTAGGGCGCTTAGCAACTTTAAGCTCTTCGTAAAACAAGTACTTAGGGCGAAAAATACTTACAGACACAAACACACAGAAAATCCAAAGAAGGATCTGTCATGTAATCGATCCTGACTTGGCATCTCAACTTCAGTCACTTTCTCATCGACGTGACTTGGCTTCCCTCTGTCTTTTCTACAAATATTTTCATCTCATTTTCTGGCAGCCATTTTTTCCCCTGGTAACCCGACTAAATAAATTTAAGCGTGCTATTCTATTGGCATTTTGGCCCTACCCTCTTAGTGTTGAAATAGTTAAATGCAACCGTCATTTATGCTCCAACAATTTCTTTCCTCGCGTTTCCCGCCCGTGGAACTCACTTGCGTTTACTTGCTTCACTGAAAAATACAATCTTCAAAAAATTAAATGAAACGTCAATCGCCATCTTCTATCTTCTTGAATCCCGTTCATGTTTTGTCCTTTCCTCAATCCTCCCTATACTCAGTCTTTTCTCTCATTTTCACTCCCTGCAACCCGCTGCATTCCTACAGTGGAATTTCCGCTTTGTGAAATGATTAAAAAAATAAAACACACAAATTTAAATCACATCATCACGTAGCTTTTGATTCACGTTACTGCTAAACGAATAGCCATGAATAATTGGGTGATTTTTTAGGCCTTATCAACCCATTGCGGACTATTTTCAAACACGTTTTGAATTGCATTTTTTAAATATTTTTTTTAATTTATTTTTTGCGAGTGAATACATTGTATTAAGAATTATTTGGAGATAACAAAAATTTTTACTATTTAAACTGTAGCTGAGGATTCAGATCTTTCCCAAGGTTATTTTCGCGTAAGTAAATGTAATGTATTCGACTGAAATTCGAACTGGGCGCTTCACTTTCTCATTCCGAACCGTTATTCATTACACCCCCCGCACATCCTCACCAAGTATAACGATGAAAATGAAGTCGCCTAAATTTCAAAAGATACAAGTGAATGCTGGATATACACACATGCATGTGCATATATCTGTATATATATATGCTTGTGGCATGTATAATAGTAACCGAAACAAATGTGGAGATGAGACGAAGTGGAGAAAGTTTATAAGGTTATCTACTGTCTTCTTAATTCCTCTTCTATTTATTTAGCATATATATATATATATATATATATATATATATATATATATATATATATCTTCAAAAGAAATAATGAATTTTCTTTATTAATCTGATTGATTTTCACACTTTAAACGTTATTTTCAGTAGATACTAGTATTAGAGTAGACGCTCGTTTTATTTATTAAACAGTGTATTTATTTTCTTCTGCCGACTTAAATATTCGAGAAATCCAGGTTGTGACGTCCCCCGGTGTCACTGCGCCAAATGTGATGTCTGCCTGGCCGCGCCTGCCGTGCTGTCCTAGTCGCGGCGCCAATTGTGACGTTCTAACTTTTTGCTGATTCGGATGGGAATCTGGTTAGATTCGGTATCAGCCTTGTCGTTCCCAGCTCGCCTCCAACGTCTGGTTACCGAAGTAACTGTTTTGATTTCTAGTCTAACCTACCCACGTTGTGATTTCATCTTAGGCAGACGAAATCAATCAGTCGCCGGGCCGTAATGCAAGTCGGGTCCGAACAAGGGCAATACCGCACAAGTATATGTAAAAGAAAAGAAAATAATAACTCGAAAAGTTCAAATGTGTTAAAAAAGAATAACAATATTTTATATCTGGTTGCGAAATATAGGACTGCGTCTTTCTCCCAATCCGCTATATGGATTCGTAACACTTTATGTTTGTTAGGCGAGTTTTAACATCTTAAGTTGTTTGTTCTTTAAGAAACTGGTTCTTGGTGTATCTTCAGGCGATATTCGTAAAACTTGTTTTGGTGGTGTGAGTCTAAGTCGTTCTTCAAAAATAAATTGTTCTTGGTTAGAAGTTGAGGTCGTGATTTGCGTGGAATCTTTCAGTCAGGTTCAACTCGAATTGCCAACTAAACTGCTTTTCACTCGCTGCGACTCTGCTTATATGGACGCCGACCAAAACCGGGGTGGGCTTGTCGGGGTTTGAGGTTCCTTAATAATTCTAAATCCACAATCCACTTCTTTGTTTTCGGTCAGGAAAATTTATTATTTTCCATTTTTGGAAGTCTTTCGTCCTCCCACCTTCTTCTGTTCTCATACTGATATCTCACCCATACCCTCAGAGGGTGTCAACGGGTTTCCCCTCTCTCTCACAGTGGCATCTCATACCGATCTCTTCAATGGGTGCCAACAGGCCTCCCCTCCTGCTTCACATGATTACCTTCGCCTAACGCTCATGCCAGCATTCAGCCAATGGGCGCCCAGCAGTGTGGGTGTGGCTAGACTAGCCTCGGTTTAAAAAATCTTGCTCAAAGAAAAAAAATTATCTTCCTTTTTTTTTTCTTTTTCTTTTTCTTTTCTTTCTCTTTCTTCTTCTCGGCCACAAGTCCTTAGACTCTTATATCTTAACCGAATTTCATATGGAATTCGTCAACGAGATTTTCGCCAAACAAGTGGGTGGTCAATTGGACATATCGCACCTTGGTGCCAATTATTCGTTCTGATGAAATAATTTTGCTATCATAGCCAGCCCTGACAATAAACAGGTGTTTTTCCCAAATGACATGGAGGTGGTTCAACGGACATTTTGGTTTCGGTCAAGCTTGACCTAATTAATCTTTATCTCCCAGCACTCTGCGGAGGTCGCTTGTCCAACTTGAAATATTTACTATTGCCATGGGCAGATTGGGTGCGTCGTCATAAATTAAATTAAATCCGACATATCCGCGACCTTACTTTCCTCGCTAGTGAGAATAAAACCTTTATCATTTTTCTTTGTTAAAAAGAATAACATCGCTTAATGTCCTTTTCGTGATGGCTTCTTATCAGCTAAATTTAATTCTCGCCTTTTCCTTTTTTTTCTTCTTTCTTTCTAGCAACTTAAATAGTGTCACAAGGTTGACGAAGGTTTGAATTTTGCCCGAGAGAGCATATTTTCCTTAAAAAAAATTTATCGTATATTCAACCTGGTAGATGAAAGTAAATCAATATACTCTTTAATAAATAAACGGAGCGTCTACTCAAATACGTGTATGCACTACAAACAATGTTTACAGAGATATATATATATATATATATATATATATATATATATATATATATATATTGAACAATGAAAAAATATAAAAAATTAAAATCGTTAGACACACTGGGTTGTAGATTAATATTCTTTCGTTTTTTTTATTATTATTTCATTTAGATTCCTCGACTAGTTTCGTCCAAAATGGCCATCATCGGGAGGAGAAATATTTCTGCTTGCTGATAGCAGTAAACTACAGAAATGAATGTTTTGCTGGAGAAAATGAACTTTTGTCTGTAGTTTTCATTTGTTTTTTTATTTTTTTATCTTTTTAACATGAATCTTTTAACAATCCTTGTGTTGGTCAAACAGTCTCTTTTAAGTTGTTATTTGAGATAAGAGCTGGATAGATACATGCTGCTCTGAATTCTCTGTTCAGTTTGACAGTTTTATTGGGCCTGGTGAGGGGATGTGTCTCTGTTTAGTGTTTGTGTGTGTGTCATTTGGTTCTTAGGGAGTGAGTGAGTATGATATGTGTAAGCGTGTGTATTGCTGTGGGTGTGTGTTATCATTTGGCTCATTAGGGTGTGCGTGAGTATGATGTGCGTAAGTGTGTATATTCGTGTGCGTGTGTGTATAAATGTATAAGTGTGAGGCCTCCACACCTCCGTTACATTATTCGGACTAATTCGCCATATTTATTACAACGTTTCGGCCGTTGTACGCTCCGGGCTTCTTCAGGTGGTTGGAATATCGAACTGAACCCTTTATTTCGCTCGCTGGGGTAGACTGTTCTAGTTCCACGTGCTTTTTTTTTTTTGGTTCCTGCAGGTAAGTCTTTTACGAGGGGCTTCTGTATGTCTTGCTTTAGGGTTTACGAGAATTTTCGTCGTTTCATCAGCGAACTTCGACTCATAATTGACATTTTATTTTTAAACTTCAATAATTGTCCACACGTTGGTGCTTTTCGGGCGCCAAGGTCATCCCCCTCCTCCTCTTACGGACGGCCTCCATACACGCACTAACACAACAGGATACGCAATATTCGCTAAGAGAGAGAGGGGGTATTCTCACTCTCTCTTCTTTCACCTAAGGTTTGTGTTGAGAGGGGACGGTCACTATTACCGACCTTTCCCCTACATTAATGACAGCGATATCTACCGTGATTTCCTCTTTCGCTGGCCGATTTTTTTAAAAGAGAGTGGAACGTCACTCAAGGTCAACCATCTCTACTGCGTGACTCGGGCGTGCTTTCACACTTTTGCGTTTATTGTTGCCCACGTGCACGTACTTGGCCTACTTTATTCGCCAACTTCGTATACCGCAATTTGTTACGTGTTCTAGCTGATTTTTTGTTTTATAGTTCCAACCCAACCCTACACACGTTAGCCAATTGTACTAAAAACCCATTTCCTTTTGGATTTTTACCCTTGGTTTACCTTTTTAAATTTCCACTTTTTAGTTTCGAGTTCCCCTTGAGTAACATCTGAACTCATTTTACTGGGTGTTTCCCTTTTTGTGTCTACGTTAGCAGTGCACAATTTTGGGATTTGTCGAAATCTCTTTTTAAGCTTTACCCTCTTTGACGTTTTTACTGTTTGGATGCCACCTAAAAGGAGGAAACTTTTGGGACGGCGCACGGCAGCTGCCTCCGCTGCTAGAGCAGCGAGGGCGAGTGAAACCCCTGAACAGACCTCTTTGCGTCTTTCACAGATGGCCTCGAGCTCAGCTGCTCGCTTATCCATGGAAAGCGCCGCTGCGCGGACTGAAAGATTGGCTTCAGCGGCTTCAACTATGTCCTCACGCCGCGCCAGGGTTTCAGTTGAAGAACGTTCACTTCAGAATTCACAGGGCGCAGTCCGCGTGGCCAGGTTGAGGGCTTCACAGTCCCCAGGACAGAAAACCCTTCGTCGTTATCGTGATGCTTGCTCCAGAAGTTTAGAAAGCCCCGAACAAACAACTTCACTTCGTCATAGGAATACTAGGGCTACAGCCGCTTCTAGAGCTTTGGAACAACCTCAAGAAACCGCTCATTGTCGCTTTAGAAATGCCCTATCAGAAAGCCTTAGAAAGCCCTGCACAGACCACTGTTCGTCGCATTATAAATGTCCGCTCCACTGCATCTGCTAGAGCCCTAGAAAGCCCTGCACAGACCACTGTCCGTCGCGTTAGAAATGCCCGCTCTACTGCATCTGCCAGGGTTGCAGAAAACTCTGAAGTACGCCGTCAACGGCTCGAAAACATTAGCTCATTTCGAGCTTCTTTGAATGGCGTAACTTCGCTGTCTGCATCATTTTGGTCAAATGTCGCATTCAATTATGACTGCACTGTCAACTATTCCGCTAGGAGAGATGTACAAATAGGGGCCATGGATAAAGTTTTCACTTTTGCAACGCAAAAAGTGGGCCGGTGAGCAACCTGGGCTTTGTTGCTCTGGGGCAAAATCAAACTCCCTTCTTTAGACGAGCCTCCCCAGCCACTTAGGGACCTCCTTCTGGGTACAACTTCGAGTCAACGCATTTTCTTGAAGCAATACGGAAGTATAACTGTTGCTTCCAGATGACGTCTTTGGTGCGAAGGCTATTAGTGAAGGGGATGGATGCCTTCTTTCAAAGTGCAAGGCCAGGTTTACCACTTAATGGGATCACTTTTGGCTGATCAGGGAGATCCACCTCAGTTCCTACAAATTTACTTTCTCGCAGACTACAACGAGCAGGTTGATGCGCGTCTCGGCATTCTGCCTAGCGATATTTCCATCGGTCCCCGTAGAGACATTCTGTTCCGTCTACAAGACATGCTTCACGAAACTAACAGTTACATCCGAAGCTTAAAGTTTGCGTTGCAAAACAACTCTTTGCCCTCTTTCAGTGTTGTCATCGATGCAGACAGACGGCCTCACGGTGAGCATGAGCGTCGCTTCAATGCTCCTGTATGTAATGAAATTGCCGCAGTCATCCACGGTGAGGAGCATAACAGCCGTGACATTGTCATAAAATACCGGGGCGGTAGTCTGCGCCGCATCAGTGAAACCCACCGTTCATACGACTGTCTCCAGTACCCCCTTCTTTTTCCATACGGAAGCGATGGGTACCACTTCAAAATCTCAATATGCCAGGCAAGCAGCGATTCCATGTCGACCTCAAAGACAATCTCCTGTAGGGCTTACTACGCCTACATTTTTATGGTTAGGGAGGGTGAATTTAACCACTTGCACAGGTGCCGTCAACTATTTCTTCAATTCGCTGTTGACATGGCTGCAAAAATGGAGTCGGAGAGGTTAGGATTCATCAAGTTAAACCAATCCAAACTTAGAACCGACTCCTACATTCACCTTCGTGATGGTCTGCGTTCTGATGGTGACCGACGCAATCTCGGCAAACCGTGCATTTTGCCTTCCTCTTACACTGGTGGCCCTCGATACATGCATGAAAGGACACAAGACGCAATGACCTATGTCCGTCATTGTGGGAGGCCTGATTTGTTCATCACGTTCACGTGCAATCCGAAATGGGTTGATATTACACGCGAACTTTTTCCAGGTCAGCAGTACTCACACCGCCCTGATCTAATTGCCCGCGTTTTCCGGTTACAGCTGCTAAAGCTTATGGATTTGATCCTTAAAGGGCAAGTCTTCGGACGCGCCAAGTGTCATATGTACACAGTGGAATGGCAGAAACGCGGTTTGCCTCATGCCCACATCCTGCTGTGGCTCAACGATAAGGTTGACGCAAACAAAATAGACGATTTTATTTCTGCTGAAATTCCGGATCCTGCGCTGGAGCCTTTGCTCCACGAAATCATTAAAAAAAAAATGATACACGGCCCCTGTAGTGTGAATTACGAAAAAAGGTCATGTTGGTCAAGCGGCCCCACTTGCGCAAAGGGTTACCCCCGTAAGTTTATCTCAGAAACGCAGACTGCGACGGATGGTTACCCTCTGTACAGACGTAGAAGCCCCGCTGAGGGCGGCAGAACTGTGACAGTTAAGGGGCACACTCTGGACAATAGTTGTGTAGTGCCTTATTGCCCGCTGCTGTTCAAGACTTTTGGAGCCCACATAAACGTTGAATACTGCCACTCGGTTAAGTCAATAAAGTACATCTGCAAGTACGTTAATAAAGGCAGCGATGCTGCCGTATTCGGTATCCGGCGCGACAATTGCGTTGACGAGGTGGCCGATTACGTGGCTGGACGCTATCTCAGCAGTAGCGAGGCCTTTTGGCGAATTTTCGGATTCCCCATACACCAAAGGGCTCCAGCCATTGTGCAGCTTGCTGTTCACTTAGAAAATGGACAGAGGATGTACTTCACCGAACAAAACGCCCAGCAGGTTGCGGAAAACCCTAAAGACACAACCCTAACGGCTTTCTTTAAATTATGCTCAACAGATGCTTTTGCCAAAACATTGATATACCAAGTCCCGTCCTACTATGTGTGGTCAAACAACCGGTGGGTTCGACGAAAGGCTGGTGACCCTGTCGAGGGTTCTCCCGATGTAAGGTCTAACTTTTGCCTTGGACGCGTTTATACTGTGCCCCCCCAGCCAGCAGGAGTGCTTTTACCTCCGCCTTCTACTTCATGAAATTGCTGGGCCAACGAGTTTCACAGATATTCGCACTGTCAAAGGCATAGAATGCCAGTCTTATAGAGAGGCATGCTTCCGTTTTGGGATTGCTTGAAGATGACTCCCAATGGGATGCAGCCATGGCGGAGGCTGAACTTCTCAGAACGCCATCACGGCTTCGAACGCTATTCGCCATTTTGCTTTGGCTAAAGTACAGAGAATCCATGTCAGAGGATGTGCTGTTCTCCGTTCAGCGTAACAGCCCAGGAGTTGAATGCGTTTTCACTGACTTCATATTAAACAGAGCGCTGGTGGCCCTAGAAGATGTTGTTTTCGAACTGGGAGGTGCCTCTTTACCAACTTACGATTCACCACCACCGCTCAGAGATGGTTTTGACACTGTACCAACTGAGTTATTGCGGGAAAAATCCTACTCCATCGAGGGGCTGAACGCATACATTAACGAAAATGAGCCCAAACTTCTACCTGATTAGAGGGTTGCTTTCACTACTATAACAGACAGGGCAAACGGCGCCATTGAAGGTATATACTTTTTAGACGCGCCCGGAGGAACTGGCAAAACTTTTGTTACTAAATTAGTCCAGGCAGAAGTACGGCGTCGTGGGGAGATCGCTATTGCGGTCGCATCTTCCGGGATTGCTGCAACATTGCTACCGGGAGGTAGAACCGCTCATTCGGCTTTTAGGTTGCCGCTTGATCTATGCCGGTCACAAACTCCTCTCTGCAACATAACAAAGAATTCGCCACAGGCTGAAGTTTTGCGGAGATGCAAACTTATAGTTTGGGATGAGTGCACGATGGCACACAAGGGCGCCCTTGAGGCACTTGACCGAAGTCTCCAAGACATCCGCGACTCCTCTGACCCCATGGGTGGAGTAACACTTCTCCTCGCAGGCGACGTTAGACAGACTCTACCTGTTATTCCTAAAGGTACACGCGCTGACGCTGTCCACGCCTGCCTGAAGTCGTCTGCCCTTTGGCACCACGTGGAGACTCTTAAACTGAGCACCAACATGCCTGCCTACTTGAATGGGGACTCCAGATCCGCTGACTTCGCACGGGACCTTCTTGCTCTTGGGGAGGGGAAAATGCCATCTGACACACACGGTTTTGTGAAGATGGATCAGCTTGCCACCACTGTTGAATCACCGGATGTATTGATGAATGCAGTCTTCTACAACCTATCATCTAATTTTGCCGATGCCGATTGGCTTGCTGGGAGGGCCATATTGGCACCGAAGAACTGTACAGTTGATTCCATCAACCTTAAACTGTTGGATTGCATTTCCGGGCAATGTCATGTTTATAAGTCCATCGACAGAACTTCCGATCCATCTGAATTAGCTGAGTATCCCATAGAAGTTTTGAACTCCCTTCAGCCGTCCGGACTCCCACCTCATATTCTTCGTCTCAAAGTTGGTGCTCCGATTATGCTAATCAGGAATTTGCTCCCACCTAAACAGTGCAACGGGACTCGCCTCATTATTAAATCCCTTTCTCCGAACCTGATTGAGACGACCATTGCAACTGGCTGCGGCAAGAGGGAAGTCGTTCTGATTCCCAGGATGCATCTTCTGTTGTCAGACGCAAGCATACCAATCAACTTTTGTCGCTCACAATTTCCCGTGAAGATTTGTTTTGCTATGTCGATTAACAAATCACAAGGACAGACGTTTAGCATCGCAGGTCTGCATTTACGTGAGCAGTGCTTCTCTCACGGCCAACTTTACGTTGGGTGCTCACGAGTTGGCTCTAAGGACAGGGTTTTCATTTACTCTCCCAACAACTGTGCTAGAAACATAACCTACACGGAGGTCCTGTAGACAACCCGCCCGGTAGCGTTTAAGCACCATGCACACACATGCAGTCCGATTGCATGGCAATTTTTTTGTTTGTCATATTGGTTTTAACGTTAGGTCATCGTAGTCTCCACTTGCCATTACTAAGACGTCTTTGTAAAGGTTATCCAGCTCTTTTGCTGCCTTCTGACTTTCATACCATCACCCGCCATCATCGCGTTTGTTTTCTCTTCAATCCCTATGTATGTCGCAACTGAATCGTGGTTTCAGGACAACTTACCACAAGTGCTTTCAGTAATGCTTAACGATCCAATAAGTTAAAGCAGTAACTGCTGCCAGCTTTTACTCATAGATGTCTTAGTAATGGCAAACGGCTTTCCGTTACTTCTTTCGATACCTTCGAATACTTGGGCCTGCATGATGTCTGCCTTAACTTTGTGTGCATAGCGTTTCAACGTTTTGTAGAAACTTAGTTCCTGTCGACTTACAAAGCACATCTTTCAAAGCAACAACCGTCCCCAACTCTTACTGTTACATCCCCGAGCAACGCCAGGCTCTACTGCTAGTATATATATATACGGTTCTAAGCGAACATTGGACTTTGTCTACATAATGTGAAGTTGTATGTGTGCTTCTCTTTGAAATCACATACACGTACACATCCAAGTGTGTGTCTACGCGTATGCTTTGTGATTGTCTAAGGCATACATACTACTACTGAATGGAGGAACCTGCCAATTACAATTCGTTTTGATCTCTGAATTAACGTTGAAATCCCATCAATAAGCGTGACATCACTCCAGCAGTGTTTAATAAAAAATGGTGTCAATCAGAACAAACAGGGATTGGAGAATCAGTGCCAGTCTTTTCCCAAAGAGAAAGTGTATCAGTGAAAACGGTTCGGATTGTTACATTGGTTTTCGAAAGATGTTCTGCTAACTGTATTTTTCAGTTGCAGTTTTGGAAATCGCCACCCAACATTCACTCGCCATCGGAAAGGAATAAATTTTGGACACAGATAAAGTAATACACTTCTTTTATATGGCTAGTTTTTTTTTTTGATCACCAACAGGTCATCTCTTCTTTTGCTCGAAGTAGTGTTTGACTAATTACCATCTATTTTTGTATTTGTTCTGTTATGAATTCACACAAATTCATTGAGTAGGTTATTCGCTATTTACTTTGCTTCTGTTTCCCTTAGTACGTTCTGCGAATGTTAAATTCTTTAGGCCATTGTAGGGATACAGAAAACGATTATCCTCTTTGCGTGGAGATAAGTCACATGGCTCACGTGGAGGTCGCTTAATGACGTCACTCCATACAGAGACGAAAGCGACAGTCAAATTCCGTTCGTTTACAGCAGCTAGATGAGAAGGTAGCTTTCAGTAGCCCTGGCCGTTCATAGCCCGGGTTGAAGTTAAATCTGCCTCCCTACCAACTTACAAGTTTCACTTTTGGAATAAATCATTCCCAGATATAAAATGAAACTCCAGCTCGAAGTCCTCAATTTGAGAAAACCCAAGACTCGCTGTTTCTCATTCGTCGAATATTTCCTTGCCTTAGACATAGATGAATCCGACCCGGTTTAATCTGAAACCCTAAAAATGACTTCCCCAGACACATAGGTATCTCCATATTATATATAATACTCTTTCCTTTGTTTCTTCTTACACTTTGCTGTGTAGATATATCTGATGTAATAGCTCTGCGTGGGACATGTGTATATATGTATATATAGATATGTGTATTATTTTCTTTTCAGACATTCCGTTTCGCTCGTGAAGTACGGAGTTATTATATCGCGGATATTATAATGTCCATAATGGGGGAAATGAAACGGGAGAATAAATCTTTCTTTTATAGTCCTTTCCTGTTACACCGTCTTTCCTCAATATGTGTCCCAGAAATCTCAGCTTCCACCTTCTCACGAATGTATTAACTTTGTTGTTGTTGTTTTCTTTAACACTTCCTCGTTACGCGCATGTTCTGTCTATGGTATTCTTAGCATTTCTTGGCAATACATCTTTGTCGCCTGGAGTCTCTTGAGGGAATTGTCTAGCGTTCACTACCATTCATGAGATTAGGTATTATATAGCAATTCAGCAACCGCTTATTTTTAAAAAAATATATTTTAAGGATATTTTCCGATATCTTAATAATCAAGCACTATTTGAATTAGTGTTTCTCAACCGGTGTCCCCGATACTCTAGTGTTCCTCCAGAAGCCGCTAGGGATACAGTGAGAAACGGTGATAAATAGGTCCTCAAGGACACATGGCATAGTGGATAAAGGCGTTAGTTACATCCACTGACAGGATCCAAAGAGTGTGAGTTCAATACCTGGTTAAGGCCGTGGAGAACTTTTAGAAGGAAATTAACAGGAGATAACTGATAACTGACATCTATTAAACATAGCACGTGGAACTAGAACAGTCTACCCCAGTGAGCAAAATAAAGGTTTCGGTTCGACATTCCAACCAACTGAAGAAGGCCGGACAGTACAACAGCCGAAACGTTGTAATAAATATGGCGACAAAGATGAGGACAATAGTCCGAATAATGTAAATAATGTATTTTAAAGTAATTTTTGTTTCTTTTTTTATTCGTATTTTTTACTAAACACGTACAGCATATTGGTAAATCCTTAGTTATTATAATAAAAGCTTCAATCACTTATATTATTTAAAATAAAAAATAACCATAGAGGATATATTTAGCGATGTCTATATGGCGTCAGTGTGAAAACCGCCTTAACTGAGTGGACAGGACCTGTACGTGGAGGATCCATGTATCATTGAGTGATTCACTCGTGTACAAGACGAGTGTCCGTATATTAGATACGATAAACATATAAAAGATATATATATTAATAATGGTGTATGGTAATTTTTATGGAAGGTTTTCCTGGGGCATAAAACTATTTCAAGGGTCCTATAAGAGACACTGATTTAAATAAAGTAAATATGATAGCGCGCCTCGGAATACGGTTATGGTTAACATGCTAATTGTTCACGATTTTAAAAAGCAATAATCACTTAAAACAAGGCCCAAGATCCCCTCAATAATGAGCGGAAGGAGAAAAGAGTAATCCGGAGGATAGTAGATAGCGATTGAAATTGCATTTAATTTTTTGTAATTTAAAAATAGCTGGAAAGCATGTAGTCGGAGTTCCACAGGCGAGAAGTGAGAGAAAAGAAAAATATGCACAGCATAGAAAAACACGGGGAGGGGAAATCTGAACTTGATGAGGCTAGGGGTAGAATTTTGAACCTGAGCCAAATTTTTTAACTTTTCATACATTTTAGTTAACATTTTAATTAATTAAGCAGTAGTTTTAAGGTTCAAATAAATTTAAATAGGGTTTACTGGGGAAACTAAAGGGGGTCTTTTGTCGTAAATGTTTGAAATTAACCAAACAAACGCTATACTGGCTATTTCTCTCCTTTCTCCTTTCTTTTCTTGAAAAAAGAAAAAAGACAAACAATGATACATGAACGCACTCGGAATATAACACAATTCTGACAAAGTCCTTTTCCTGTTTACACCTAATACCAAACGAACTTATTCAACACAAAATGAAACTCATCGGAAAACTTGGCTGACACTCTGTCGTCGTCCCCTATTAACATTTCTCATTCGCTCTCTTTCTCTCCCTTCTTCCATCCCTCTCTCTTC